TAAAACTTAAGACTTAAGAACAGATATGAAAATAACCATTTCTTAAGTTTTACTGATAAGTTCGTTAAGTGAACTATGAATGGCTTTACGGTCGCCTGTGTTTCAATATTTTACTGTTACTGCTACTGTTAATGATACTGACACTATAAATCCAGCTTAGAAAGTCACAAATCAGAAAAATTTAAAAAAAATATGGATATGAGGTATTTAAATATCGACAACCAAAACAATAATCTTGCACGATCAATTTTATATTGCGATCATATTCCGATGAATCCCGATTCATGAATAATGGAATGTTTAATAGGCAGAATACTAGATATTGGTCAAGAGAAAATCAGTACAGAATGAACCAGGGCAACTTTCAGGAAAGGTTTGGAGTTAATGTTTGGGCCGGAATAATCGGATTGAGAATAAGGTACTAGCTGACGTCACACACATAACCTCAATGACATGTTTGTCTCCCTATCGAAAGTCACGTTCTGTCATTGGTGACAAGCTAGCGCCTGTGTGTTAAATAGACCTAAAGCCTAGTTCTCATGGTGCGGGCTTCCGCATTGCGGGTCCGGAAATAGCAGTTTTTTGAAAATCGCAATTTTTGATGGTTCACATGAAACGGAATTCCGGATGCGGTTTTATGTCAAATACATGTGATCTTAACCTAACATATTTTTTGTTTTTGTTTTCCTGTGTGCCTGGATGGATAATTATATTGCACAATTAAATTATTATTAATGGAAAAGACAGAGGGAGGTATGAAAAAAAACAAAGTATCTGCTACTACGACAAGTAGTAGTATATTCTTCATAGTGTTTACTTTAAAATGAAGTAGATACTACATTTCGAAACTACCGGAAATTAGTAAATCCTTTGTTGTGAAGTAAATACTTCATAGAATATACTACTACCTGTAGAAGTAGCAAGTAAAATCTGTTTTTTTTTTAAAGATAAAAGTCAAAATGACATTATGTTGGCAATACAATGTAAAATTGTCAATGCTTTCAAATTTTTTGTGCAGAAAAGGTTTGTGTTGCCAACAAAGTTAATAAATTTTTGACTTAGGGAATTATCTTTAAAAAAAAAACGTACTTTACTTCGTTTTTATTCAGACTATCACCCAATATACGTTAGTATTGGGTTTGCTATTCTATTAATCCATAATATGCATGAAACTTCATCAAAGAAGCAGAATAGCAGAGGAATATTGAAAAAAGGAAGATGTTCAGAAATATTCTTCTGAAAAGGCATGAACAAGGGGTTTGCCGTAATAATATTATGTATTTGAAAATAAAACAAGCACATGAGCAAGCAGATCAATTTATTTTTGTAGGTATTAATTGTTTTTTGTTTGAGGTTAGTTTATTTGTTTATGTAGAAATCAAACAAAGATGAGAAATGTTTAGACAAAGACAGTAAAAAAAATCGCAAGAAAGTTGAAAATGGTTCAACTTTATTGCGGATCCGCAAAAAAGTTGACGTTTTCCCGCCATCGGAATTATTTCAAAAATTCCGCACCCGCAATCCGGAATTCCGCATCATGAGAACTAGGCTTAACACTTTGTTTGTCCCCCCAACGGAAGTGACGTTATGTGTGTGACGTCAGCAAGAGCCTAACTGTGGGGCCAATACTCTTCCAAGAGTTTCAAGGGCGGTTAACTGGGGAAAGATATCTTGGATTTCTTTGGAATGGAATAGAGGAATTCCTAGAAAGTTTGCTTTTGGGAATTGAGAGGGATATTTACTTTCAGCAAGATGAAGCCTCACCCTACAATGGTTATGTAGTGAGGGATTACTTAAGGGAATGCTTTGGGGACCATCTTATAATTACCAATGGACCGATAGCGTAGCCACCTCGTTCCCCAGATCTCACGGCTCCCGATTTCTTCCTTTGGGGATATTCGAAAGAAAGGATATACACGAAACACCTTCACCTCCCCTTTGGACGTTCTTCAGAACCGTATTCGTGAGGCATTTACATCTATAACTTCACAGATGCTAGACAATATTATCAGGGAAAACGTTTTTCGAATTAGGCAATGTAGAGCAGCTCATGGAGGATATTTTGAGAACCTGATCGGTGGCTAGTGATATTGCTTATTTATTTATTTTATCCCTATTATAGGCTTTTCATTTTAAAGTATATAATTTATTATTATAGGCCCTGCGTTATTATGCTCATTTAATTTCACAGATGGAACCAACATATTCCATTCACATCGGTGAAGTCACAAAATATTGAAGAAGTTAAGCGCGTATTCAAAATAGGTGATACTGAATTATACAGGGTGTTCCCGTTCAACTGGTCAAAAATGCTAGGGTATATAGAGGAACCATAGAGAAGTAATTTTAGGACACCAATGGTCGGAAGTGCGTCATTTCCAAAATACAGGGTGTTGAAATTTAAACAACCCCCTTCCATAACATCTGAAGGGCTAATGCTAGGCTGTTCAAATTTCCAGGGATTATTGATGTAAGTATGATATTTAAAAATTTGTATGATGCACCCCCATTTTCTACCTGGAACCATCCCAAAAAAAAATAAAGAATACTTAAAATTTGAAAAAAAGCATTTTTTTTCAATTTTTTTCCTTTTTTTTGGGGTGGTTCCAGGTGGAAAATAGAGGTATATTATACGAATTTTTAAATATCATTCCTACATCAAAAATCCCTGAAAATTTGAACAGCCTAGCATTAGTCCTCCAGATGATACGAAAGGGGTTTTTTTAAATTACAACACCCTGTATATTTTGGAAACGACGCACTTCCGACCATCGGTGTACCATGTCACATTACTTCTCTATGATTCCTCTATATACCCTAGCATTTTTGACCAGTTGAACAGGGACACCCTGTATAATACAGTATCACCTATTTTGAAAATGCGCTCCTGCTTTATCACGCTATATTTCGAAAACGGTAAGTCATATCAAATAATGCATATAAACAATTTTGTAGGAAATACTATTTTACGTAAGTTTTGTTTTGAGTTCTTCGACGTCAGAAGCACTGGAAGCGAGATTTTCGCAAAAAAACGATTTTCGTGACCTTTGACCTTCCATATCTCAAGACGCACAAGGGTAGGCATATTCGATTTTTTTGTGCTTCATTAGAACATCAAAACGAAGGTCTCTGCAAATATTAGCTTGTTCAACCTCATTCCGCAGAGGAAGTCTAATTTCCCTGGGGTATTTGGTAGACAAATAATTAGTGAAAACAATGCATTTCCATTTCTTCACAGTTATATGAGCTAAAACAAACAGTTTCAGGCAAATTCTGGCAGTCTCAACTCAAAAACAAATTTCCTTTAAAGATTTTCAAACTTCATCAAACAACTTCAAATTTGATATTTCCATATACAGAATGATCCCAGGATTTCAAAACTACTAAAAGAATACTAGGTTGCTAGTCTTTTACACATACGTCAAAAGATGACATGTGATGACATTCGCCAAACCCAAACTCTACATCGAAATTCATGTCGATCGGAAAAGAAATAAAAAAATACCAGAACGAAAGCGATATCGTTGAGATCCGGTATTCAGAAAAGATAATTTTTAACCAAATTTTTGCACAGTTGAAACCGAGATATTTACGTTTAAAGTTTTTTTCAGCCATAAGAGCTAATGGTAATTATTTTTTTCGAATGATTATAAAAAAATACTCCCTACAAAGACCACATTGTGTATTGGACCAATAAATTAGTATTTTTTTCTCTATACGATGGTATCAATATCTCAATTTTTGATGATAGTGCCCTTTTGCACAGCCCAATTTTGTATAACCTCCGGAATAAGGGTAACCTTGTTACGTACTTTCATCCCTAAAAAATTCAGCTTGTGACACCGAAGTCAAAATAAGTCTTAATCTACACCATACTGTAACGGATTTGGACAATGGACAATGTGAATAAAAATTCAGTAAAAGCTTTTTCTTATGTTTTCGAAGCAAAAGCTAGGTTTTCAGTGAAGAAGAATAAATATTAGCTTTTACTAAAAAGCATTGAAGGAAAACCTAGTGTCTAGCATTTTCTAAAAATGGCGTGAATAAACATAAGCAAATGCTTAAGCTTACACTTTCTCAAGCGTTACAAACCTGTCTTGAAAATGTATAGTTGTGTTTACTTCGGCAAAATACCTACATTTATGAATATCAGGGGTGTAAAATATTGCCAACCTACCCGGTAAGAAAGGAGTCATCCCGCCCGAAGAATACCGACCACATGTATGTAGATTAAGTTAGCAGAATGTTAAGGGTATATTAAGCTGGATACTTTTTAGGAAAAAAGCAGACTAGAGGTGGCATTCCAAGGAAAAAATGCAAATATTTTTAAACAAATATAGCAATATGTAAAACGATATCATGTCTTACCAAAAATCGTAAAAAAAGGAGATACTTGGATTATACTTCCAACAGAAAAAAAAACTTGATCGATGTAGCATTTGCTGAATGGGCATTCTCATTTTCCTATGGTATTGACTATGGTTGCAACAGATTGTACTGATGTTAGATGTTACCATAATAAAGCCATCACTAAATGATGATAAGTATTTTAATAGAAAAGGTCATTGAAGGAAAAATACAACCAAAGAATCCATTCGTCTGTTTTCGCAAGTATTTGTAAGTGAATGCTTAAAATATGCAGATATCACACATTCACCCCTCTGGCGTTTTGCGCTATAGGGGTTGAACTAAGGTTGAAAGTGCGCTATTGGCGATTACTTGGCACCTAGGTATTGATTTTACAAAAAAAAATTCAAATAAAAGATATGCAACATTATTTAATCTACAATGTTTATCTAAAGACTTTTTTGATTAAGGGCTGTATGTGGTCATAAGGGCCATTTGAAATTTATAATGCAAATAAAAATGTTTAGTCAACGTGAAAAAAATTTCTACAACACATACAACGTTTAAAATTTTTACTCACCCCCTGCCGTTTTTCAATAGGGGTAGTTTCAAGTTTTTTTTATTTTTTTACAAAAAAATTTAAAACAACTTACCTTTACCATTCTCCATCAGCACCCTGGCCAAATTCTTAGGATTAATTTTCAAATTCCTTTTCCTAACGACTTTGGTTCTGGCTTTGAACGCCACAGTCTTTTTGATTCCGGGCTTGCGGCCCCTTTTGCGTACCGCAACCTCATGAGAAGTAATTGGTGTATCAGTACCGGTTGCCGGTACCTCATTTTTGGTCGGTTGAGGTACCGGTACTATCTCCTTGGCGGCGGTGACGGTAGCTGCCGGTTGCTTTTTGACCCTGGTTGCCATGTCATATCAAAAGACCTGAAACAAATAAAATGTTTAACGATTTTCTACCAAGCCGAAGCGAATTTCTTGAAATTAATATTATCGCTAGTTTTATGCGATAACCTGGTTTTGGTTATTAATGAATATTGCTTTTACTGAGAATTATGATGAATGCATAAAATTTAATAATAAAAGCGGGATTGAATCACTGGAGAAACGATAAAGAAATGTTTTACTTTGAGTAGTTGCATTTATAGTTGGCTGTTGATCTCATTATAATATATAAAAAGTTTATAATTTGAACTTTTCTCTACTCTAAAAGTCTCCAAATTTTCTCCTCAATAGTTTGTCAGAAAAATAATATTAAAATGTCCAGAAAGTGCCTTTAATTTCTATAGTAGATTGTCAAGACATTTTACCAATCCCGGGTTTTCATGGGAATAATTATTTGAAATTCTAATTCAATAAGCTCTTTTTACACTAAAAGTGACCTTGCGATGGGTACTTTTGCAGAAAAACAGCATTAAAGAGAGATTAGGTATAACTTTTAAAGTTAATTTTCAAAAGTTTTATCAGTTTTGGTTATTGGTGTAAAACTTGTCGAAAATCTGAATATGCATTTTTATTTGAGTAGTTTTTCATATTTCTATACGTGGTTTAGGTCAATGGAATTTCCCATAAGAGTTGGAAAATGGTGTTATGATAGTACCCTTCAGGGCCGCCGTTACCATGTGCGCAGTGTGTTCAAAATTCACTTCAAAATAAATCATGCCCATTGAGTTTTATTGAAAATAAACCTCTCAAACAAATAAACCCATCAAACCCATAGCCAATTATATACTATTGGAAAGAACATTAAATTCTCTATAAATCCATGCAAAATTGAGTTTGATAGTTGAAATAGTTTTTAAGGATTTAAGCCTCAAAGTTGACTTTTAGTCCAAATTTTGTCAAAAACTTCAAACTCAATTTGCTCAAAAACTATAAATCTGAGCTCAATAAAAGCTACAAATGCTGGAAATTTCAATACAATTTGCTCAACGGTTACCGAGCAATTGAGGTTAGAATATTTTGAAATTAGAATTCAGGAGTATCCTTTTGAAAAACTCAATTTTTTTTTATTTTCAGTTTTGCTCATTTTTGACTTTATCAATCGATAGAACGGATCAAAATTATTAAAAAACAATCCTGATATCAAATCCAAATAACCATTTTAAGCAGAAACAAAATTAAAAAAGAAATCCAATTTTTGACTCTGGAAAATTTTCAAAATCTTGACATGGTCATGAGCCCATATCTTTTCTAAATTTCAAGCAAATTCAAATAAATAATATATCCTCAGACAGAGCATTAAATTCTCTATAAATCTGTGTAAAATCGAGTTTGATAGCTCAAATAGTTTTCAAGCAATTGAGCCTCAAAGTTGACTTTTAGTCCAAATTTTGTCAAAAACTTCAAACTCAATTTGTTCAAAAACTATAAGCTTGTGATTATTGTAAATTACAGGCCAGAGTTTAATAAATGTTACAAATGCTGAAAATTACAATGCAATTTGCTCAACGGTTACCGAGCAATTGAAAAACACGATTTTTTTAATTTTTAGTTTTGCTCAATTTTGACTTTACCAATCGGTAGAGCACAGTCGCGAAGAATTATTCATAAAATTTAAGGGTCTTGGGGGGCAAATGCCCCCTTGCCCCCCCCTGGCTACGCCAGTGGTAGAGCAGATCAAAATTATTGAAAAACAACCCTGACATCAATTCCAAATTGTCATTTGAAGTAGATACAAAATTAAAAAGGAAATCCTACTTATGGCTCTGGAAAATTTTTAAAATATTGACATGGTTATGAGCAATTGCCTATATCTTTGTTATATTTCAAGCAAATTAAAATAAATTATATATCCTCAGAAAGAGCAATAAATTCTCTATAAATCTGTGTAAAATTGAGTTTGATAGCTCAAATAGTTTTCAAGCAATTGAGCCTCAAAGTTGACTTTTAGTTTCAATTTTGTCAAAAACTTCTAACTCAATTTACTGAAAAACTATAAATCTGAAAATATTGTAAATTATAGGCCATTTAGAGCTCAATAAGAGCTTCAAATACTGAAAATTTCAATTCGATTTGCTCAACGGTTATCGAGCAATTGAGGTTTAAATATTTTGAAATCAAAATTCAAAGGGGTACCCTTATGAAAAACTCGATTTTTTTGATTTTCAGTTTTGCTCAATTTTGACTCTAGCAATCGATAAAGCGGGTCAAACTTAGTGGAAAACAATTCTGAAATCAATTCCGAATGGTTATTTTTAGCAGGAACAAAAAGAAAAAGAAAATTCTATTTTTGGCTCTGGAAAATTTTCAAAATCTTGACATAATCATGAATAATTGCCCATATCTTTGTTAAATTCCCATTCCACTAATTTAGACCCACTTTATCGATTGGTGAAGTCAAAATTGAGCAAAACTGAAAATTAAAAAAATCGAGTTGTTGCGGAAACATCCGCAACTATTTTGAAATATTTGAAAAAGAAGATGCCATTCATTGCATAATTTTCTTTCCTAATAATAGAGGGCGTTCACGTTTGTATTTTCATTACGTTCTTTGCATTCTGTCACGAAAAAACAACCATGGCGTGGATGGTCATGCTGGTGTTTTTCGGCGATTTTTTTGTTTTTCTAGTTACTATAGCCCGTTGTTGATTCGTTGTTAACCAGAGTATAAAAATTAATAAAAAAAAGTAATAAGTTTTTGAAAAAGCTCCCAACGCTTTCACTGAAGGCGAAAGCTGCGCAAAATGCACAACACCCAATTGGCCCTAATTGCACGAAGAATTACCCCATGATTGAAAAGAGCACTGTTTTGTGAAGTTTCCCAGTATCGCCTTCCAACCTCAACCTAAATTCCCATTGCATACAGAAAGCGAAATATTTGCAGAGTGCAACATGTTAAAAAAGTTAAGAAGTTAGGATTAATTCTATTGATATTTGTCAATTTCAGAATTAATTCTTTTGATATTTATCAAGATTATAATAAATAACAATTTTATTTGAAGTTTTGTATAAATGCAAAAGTATGTTTATTTTTCTCCAAGAAGCCATTTATTAAATTGAACAAAGCCACATATGGAGTCCTCTGCTGGATTGAAAACCAAATAGGTAAGATCCACCCTAGCTTTGGATTGACAATTCTCAAGAAAAGATTGTTCCATTCAAAACATTGGTCCTTCGAGCCGGATGGCATAAGTTTGGAGAGAATCTTGAACATTTTGCTGTGTTATACCATTGACTTGTGTGTGCCTTATTCTATTGACAAGCAATAGAACTTTGAACTCAACTCCAAGAAGTACTCAGAGACTTATGGAAAATGTGTGAGTACTTGGTGAATCTTGTGGTAACCTGAAAAAAGTGGTAAGCAGTTGAACATTGATAAACATTTTAAAATGTCTAACTTTCCTGAAAATTTTTTAGATTTAGATTATAGTCAATTGAAAATACAACGAACCATTATCAAGGGTAAAATAACAAGAGTTAATAATTGGCTCCAAACAGCAGATAAGGCTGAAGTAGGAGAGCTCTCAGAAAAGTATGATTACTTAAAAAATACTTTTCATGCATATGAAAATATACAAGACAGGATAGATGCTCTTCTGCTGATGAAACCCTTGATAATGAGGATCGTGATTTCATTGAAAACTCTGTTCATCAAAAGTGTGGTATTATCAAAGATAAAATTAAAAAATTATGTTTTTCTCCCTTTCCCCCAAGCGTTAATGCACACCCTGTACAACAAACTATTGTGGCCCCTTCTCCTAAAATTGATGTGAAATTACCTGACATTCATATCAAACCATTCAAAGGTGATATTTCAGAATGGCTACCTTTTTATCAAATTTTTGATGCTTTAATAATTCAAAATCAGAGCCTCTCAAAAATACAGAAATTTATTTATCTGAAGTCATTTTTGCGGGATGAACCATTGAAATTAATTGAAAATTTAATAGTTATAAATGATAATTTTGATACAGCCTTAGAAATTCTGCAGAAACGATACGAAAATAAGCTTTCTGTAATAAATACTCTTTTAGTGTCTCTCTTGGAAGTGCCTTCACTCACAAAATGCACCTCAACAGCTCTCAGGGAATTTTCAACCAATTGTAAGAGAAATTTAGACTCGTATAATTTAAATTATTCATGTGAACAATTGTTAGACTTTATCTTGTTATATTTGTTAGGAAAAAAGATAGATTTTGGTACAAGAAGAGCCTTTGAAACTGAGAGAAATGTGGATGAATTACCTCAACTTTCAGAATTTTTTGAATTTTTAGAAAAAAGATGTATAGTGTTGGAAAACTTAAATAGTACGGGTGTACAATTTACACCAAAATTCACAAAACCTCAGTTAAAAACCTCTCTTCATGCATTCGCATCCCAAAACAGTGAACATGCAAAGTGTTCTTATTGCAATGAAAATACTCATATTTATTCTTGTAACAAATTCAAAAATGCATCTATTGCAGACAAGAGAAACTTTGTAGGTTCTAAAAAACTGTGTTATAACTGTCTGGGAACTGCTCATGCAGTGGCTCAGTGCTCATCTACTAATGTTTGTTCTTTTTGCTCTAAGAAACACCATAGCATGTTGCACTCTCATCAAAATAACAGACTAGAAGCTCGGGTAGAAGGTGCTCAAAATGTCTCTAATAATAACCCGCCTAAATTTGATAAAAATAAATATAACAGTCAAACTCGATTAAATGAAAACAATGGATTTTTGTCCCCCTCACAAAATGGTGCTATTCCTAAATCTTCCAAAGGTAATTCTTCGTGCAACTCTAGTGCACTTTCGCAAGACTCTCTATCTCTGTCAGCTTCTACTAGAAATAACCACGTTTTATTAGCTACTGCTTGTGTCTCTCTTTATGATGCCCAGGGAAATTGTATACAAGCTAAAGCAATTTTGGATAATGGCTCTCAAAATTCTTTTGTCACTCACAAACTCGTCAACAAATTAAATTACATTTCCTATACTAAAACAA